AAATGGCTTTTAAGGGCTGGTAAACACAGGCTGCTTCAACAGAAACCGTCTGGCATTTGGTCCGTGTGTACAGCAGCCTGTCTGACGTCTATCAAATTGGCATACTGGAAAACTTGCATCCAATCAGTGCTGGTAGCCAACGGCTATGAGCACTGATCTGTGTGTTTTGGTGGGGAGCTGTCCCTGTCAGAACACAATAGCTCAGCGTGGGAGATCACCACACTAACATCGTTTACTTAGTATGGCGACCTTTCATTTTTTTTTTCATTCTTCCCACTATGTTGAAAGAAAAAAACCTTATCGTGGTTACCGAGCAGTACCCTTCTCCACTAACCATAATGAGAAAAAAAAACTGTTTTGGTTGGATATACATTTTAATTTTAACACAAAGATGAATTTTACCATGGGGTATTTAAAACTGGCAAGTGCAGTGACACTAGATTCCCTGATATTAAACTGCTGATATTTGCAGCTTTTGTTCAATCAGTTCACTTAAAAATGGTCCCAATATGATTAGGCAGAAAGATTTAACGTAGGTTATATACTTTGCGCAACTAGCAATACACTATGTCAACATTAACTAATAATCAAATCAGGATTTAGATAAAAAAAAGTACCTTTGAAGTAAATAAAACCTTATCTTAATGTCAATCCTGCAGTTAGGAAAAAATCATTACCTGCTGAACAAGTTGGGAAACTGAGAAGAACAAAAGACCACATCTTAAAGCCTTCAGATGCAGCTGGCTTTGCTTTTCTTATGGTCTATACATAGCAATAAAAAGAATCCCTGACTAATCCAAAATATTGCCTAAGGTGATAAATGAGATTTCCCAAGCCCCAGTGGTCATTCTCACTGCAGAAAAATTATGTTTTTAGAAATAAGATCTCTGTCCCTTGGTAAATCAATATTTTAAAGAATTATCTTAAAATTTAATGTTACAACTGTTTCATTTACCCAACACTGATTTAACATACAGTGAAATGTTTAACTAGTTGCCGACCGCAGATAGCCGAATGACGGCTTCACTGCGGCCAGCCAGTTCTGGGTGGACGTCATATGACGTCCCCCCAGAACGCGCTCTCCTGCGCGCCCCAGGGGGCGCGCCCCGGGCGATCTCCGTGATCGCTGTGTCCTACGGACACAGCTGATCACGTGATGTGGTAAAAGGCCGATCCCAGCGGCCTTTTACCACGTGATCAGCGGTGTCCAATGACACGCTGATCACAGGGAAATGCAAGTGCCGGTTCTCGGCTGCACTTTCCTCACGCTGTCAGATCGTGAGGAAAGTACTGCCGAGAACCGGTAGTTGTCACAGCGGGGATCGGCACCGATCATCAGGACACTGATGATCAGTGCCCTGATGATCGGTGCCCAGCAGTGCCATCCGCAAGTTCCGCCCACCTGTGCCCAGCAGTGCGCCCACTAGCTCCGCCCACCTGTGCCCAGCAGTGCACCCACCTGTGCCCAGCAGTGCAACCACCTGTGCCCAGCAGTGCACCCACCTGTGCCACTCTGCAGTGTCACACACCTGTGCCCAGAAGTGCCACCTACCTGTGCCCAGAAGTGCCACCCACCTGTGCCCACCCACCTGTGCCCACCAGTGCCACCCACCTGTGCCCACCCACCAGTGCTGCCCACCAGTGCCACCCACCAGTGCAGCCCAGCAGTGCTGCCAGTCAGTGCCACCAGTCAGTGCCCAGGGGTTGTGCCAGTCAGTGCCCAGCAGTGATGCCAGTCAGTGCCGTCTATCAGTACCCATCATCAGTGTCACCTATCAGTGCCGCCTATCAGTGCTGCATATTAGTGCCGCCTATCCGTGACACCTCATTAGTGCTGTCTATCAGTGCCGCCTATCCGTGCCACCTCATTAGTACCCTTTATCAGTATCTAGTACTAGTGCCCTTACAGACCACCTAGTATCAGTGCCCTTTAGTGCTGCCTATCAGTGCCGCCTATCAGTGCCCATCAGTGCTGACTCATCAACCCACATCAGTGAAGGAGAAAAAATACCTGTTTGAAAAATTTTATAATAGAAACAAAGAAAAAAAAATTTTTTTTTCAAATTTTTTGCACTTTTTTTATTTATAGCGCAAAAAGTAAAGCGCCCAGTGGCAATTAAATACCACCAAAAGAAAGCTCTATTTGTGAGAAAAACATTATCAAAATTTCATATGGGTACAATGTTGCATGACCGCGCAATTGTCAATCAAAGTGCGGCAGCGCTGAAAGCTAAAATTGGTCTCCTGGTAAGAAGGGGGCACCTTGCCTGGTAGGCAAGTGCTGTTAAACCCATACCTCCAAACTGCTGTTACATCAACTGCATCATCAGGATCTCTGTCGATCTCAATAAAGGTCCATAATTAGTCTGAAATGAGGGATTATCTGGCAAAAAAAAATGTGTTTACAATCTGTACAAGAGCAAAGCATGTAACACCTGTACTGAATTAAACAGCTGTTCTCTAAGATTATAAAGGTAAGCCTATCCTCCCCCCCTTTCTCCCTCCTCCCCCTTCCTCTCCCCTCCCCCTTTTCTTTTCCCCCCCAGCCCCCCCCCCCCCCCTCCCTTCCCCTTTTCCTTTTTTCAGGGTTTTTGATATTGCTCATGGTTACTGTTTGTGTTTTATATTATGCTGATGTGTGGTATCCCTATTCGGTTCTGTCATTCCTTATTTCGGTGCTGTACTATATGGAGGAACATTGTCTCTGTCTATTGTTTTCTTTGTTTCATTCTGCTGAAGATTATGTATCGCATTGTACCATGTTGTTTCTGTACCAATCTTGTATTGTCTGTTTGGTCAATAAAGCCCTGATGTTAAAAAAAAAAAACCTATCTATGCTACAGTGCCTGGAAAAAGTATTCATAAACCCCTTGAAATTTTCCACATTTTGTCATGTTACAACAAAAAACATAAATATATTTTTATTGGGATTTTATGTGATAGACCAACACAAAGTGGCACATAATTGTGAAGTGGAGGGAAAATGATAAATGGTTTTGAAAATGTTTTACAAATTAATATGTGAAAAGTGTTGCGTGCATTTGTAATCAGCCCCCCTGAGGCAATACTTTGTAGAACCACTTTTCACTGAAATTACAGCTGCAAGTCTTTTTCGGTATGTCTCTACCAGCTTTGCATCTAGAGAGTGACATTTTTGTCCATTCTTCTTTGCAAAATAGCTCAAGCTCTGTCAGATTGGATGGAAAGTGTCTGTGAACAGCAATTTTCAAGTCTTGCCACAGATTCCCAATTAGATTTAGGTCTGGATTTTGACTGGGCCATTCTAACACATGAATATGCTTTGATCTAAACCATTCCATTGTAGCTCTGGATTTATGTTTAGGGTTGTTGTCCTGTGTGAACCTCCACAGCAGTCTCAAGTCTTTTGCAGACTCTAACAGGTTTTCTTCTAAGATTGCCATGTATTTGGCTCCATCCATCTTCCCATCAACTCTGACCAGCTTTCCTGTCCCTACTGAAGAAACGCATCCCCACAACATGATGCTGCCACCATCATGTTTCACGGTGGGAATGCTGCGCTCAGGGTGATGTGCAGTATTAGTTTTCCACCACACAAAGCGTTTTTCTTTTAGGCTAAAAAGTTAAATTTTGGTCTCATCTGACCAGAGCACTTCTTTCCACGTTTGCTGTGTCCCCCACATGACTTCTCGCAAACTGCAAATGGGACCTCATATGGCTTTCTTTCAACAATGGCTTTCTTCTTGACACTTTCCATAAAGGCCAGAGTTGTGGAGTGCACGACTAATAGTTGTCCTGTGGATAGATTCTCCCACCTGAGCTGTGGATCTCTGCAGCTCCTCCAGAGTTACCATAGGCCTCTTGACTGCTTCTCTGATTAATGCTCTCCTTGCCCGTCCTGTTAGTTTAGGTGGACGGCCATGTTTTGGTAGGTTTAAGGTTTTGCCATACTCTTTCCATTTTCGGATGATGGATTGAACAGTGCTCCATGAGATGTTCAAAGCTTGGGGTATTTTTTTTATAATCTAACCCTGCTTTAAATTTCTTCACAACTTTATCCCTGACCTGTCTGGTGTGTTCCTTGGCCTTCATGATGCTGTGTATTCACTAATATTCTCTAGTAAATCTCTGAGGGCTTCACAGAACAGCTGTATTTTACTGAGACTACATTTCACAGAAGTGAAATCTATTTACTAATTAGGTGACTTCTGAAGGCAATTGGCTCCACTAGATTTTAGTTAGGGGTATCAGAGTAAAGGGGGCTGAATACAAATGCACACTACACTTTTCAGATATTTATTTGTAAAAAATTGTAAAAACCATCTATCATTTTCTTCCACTTCACAATTATGTGCCACTTTGTGCTGGTCTATCACATAAAATCCCAATAAAACACATTTACCTTTTTGGCTGTAACATGACAAAAACTACTATAAATGTACCCGTAAGTGGATATGAGAACTTAAGTGCAAAACGTTTGCAACTGAAGTACTCAAGGGAAGCAGAAAATAAGTGAATAATCTATCACATTAACCTCTATACTATATAGCCAAATGTTTTTATAGACATAAAACAGCCTCCATTCATCTAGTAAGTATTCCTCAGGATTTTGGAATGTGCCTGTGGGAATGTGTGCCCACCAAAAGAGCATGCGAGTTGGTTTTCTACTCATACCAAAGGTGTTCAATAGGGCTGAGATCAGGGTTTTGTGCAGGTCACTCAAGGTTCTCCACCACAAATTTATCAAACCATGTTTATATGGGCCTGGCATATGCCTAGTACACATGATCAGAAAATTGGATGACAAGAATCGCTTTTGGCGGGATCGTATGATAATTTGATTGTTAGTACATGGCTTTTTACAGCCAATCACAACTGTTCATGTGATAATATCCAAAGGAACAAGCACAAAAATGTTCTGGTACGATAACAGAACAAATGCTTTTCCTTTAATCAGTACAGTATTTGTAAAAAAAAATAATTGCATACAATACATTACATCACTTCCAAAGTTCTATTTTGTCGTATAAGAATTTTCAGAACTGTTGTAACCTCTTAATTTTCGATATTAGACTAGCATGCAAAAAAAAAAAAAAAAAACCCAAAACAGACAACCATTTGTCAGATATTCTCATCATGTGTACGGGGCATTAGGCACACAGTCATGCTGGAACAGAGAAGGGCATTCCCCTTGCCATGAGGTTGGAAGTGTAAAGTTGGTTGAAATGTTTTATATGCTGTAGCATTAACAGCACCCTTTACTTGAAGCATCTAAAGTCAGTAATTTGAAGGGAGACCCACAAACCTTTAGCCATATAGTGTATATTAGTTGTGGGTCTGAGACAATTCTTTCTGTCAAAGCTGGTTCATTGTTTAATGGTCACACTTTCTGGGTCTGTACATGCACAGTTATTACATGTATTTTGTGTTGAGTGATTTTACTTACAATGTCCTAAGACATGCATCTCCTCCCTTGTTGCTGGAGCATATCCGGGTAACTGCATATTGTAATCTATATCTGTCTCCACAGCATTCATTGGAAGAAATCTTTGGTTCCGCCTCCGGTTTCTTTCTCTAGGAAAATCATTTTCATGATCATAATTATCATTTTCTACATATGGGTTCTGTTGGAAAGATGAATCCTGTCTGAACTGTGCTCTGGAGGAGGGCCTGGATGAATGTCTGCTCTGAAGCCTGGAGAACATAAGCACAGATTTTTAGTGCAAGATAACAAAGCAGTTATAGCTAAATTAAGTGACTAATCAGAATACATCCAATTATGTTTGTGACTCACAGAAACATGTAATGTCTCCCGTTGCTGTCTTAGCCAGTGAGGAGAGAGAGTCCCCAGACAGCCAAGGCTCTTAGGCACATCATGATAGCGATAGGGCTCGGGTTAGTATTAGGGGGGCTGAAGAGGTTGCTGCACACCTTGAGCTTTTAGAACCATTTTAAATGGGCTGTAACAGAGTTTTAAAAGCAAACCTGTCAAGAACCTAATATACCAAATCAATCAGTCACCCCCTTTGGTGCCTAAACTTACTCTTAGAGCTACTGCCCCCAACTCTGATTGCTACCAATGCTCTGGTATTGGCTGGCAAACATTTGGAAGCAGAACCAGGGTTAAGAATAAATCCAGGCACAGACGGTGCCTAGTTCATAGTGGGTGCAAAGGGTTTTTATTTTCTTGACAGGTTTATTTTAACCGCTTCCATACAGGGCACTTTTACCCCCTTCCTGCCCAGACCATTTTACAGGTTTCAGCGCTCTCACACTTTGAATGACAATTGCGCGGTCATACAACTGTACCCAAACTAACATTTTATCATTTTCTTCACACAACCAGAGCTTTTTTTTTGGTGGTATTTAATCACCACTGGGGTTTTTCTTTTTTTTGCTAAAATTAACAAAAAAAGACCAAAAATGTGTTTTGATTTGTGACATAAAATATGGTATAGATCTAGGAAATATAGATCAAAATCCTGAATCTGTACTGACGTACTGCCGGCCAATCAAATTTCTTGAGGTCCAAGAATGTCAGAACAGTACAGATATCCTCCAAATTACCCCTTTTTGCAAAGTAGACAGTCCGACGTATTTCATAAGAGGCATGGTGAGTTTTTTGAAGTTGTAATTTTTTTTGTCATAATTTTTCGGAAAATTAAAAAAATTCAAAAAATTATTTTCACTATTTTTATTTTTACATACTGTCACCAGTGCAGTACAGCATCATCATATAATTGGCATGGCGGTGATCAGGGACACTGACTGGTAACAGTATGGAAAATAAAAATTATCATTTTTTTTTATTAGTTTTCATTTTTTATTAAATTTTTTTTCTTTTTTTTTAAGATTTTTTTTCATATTTCACTATGACCAAAGTAGTATAATGTTACCATAGTAACATTGTACTACTTTGGGGAAGTGATCAGTATTTTTTTTTTTTTACACAAATTGCTTACAGTAAAGAATTACTTTGCTATAAGCAAGCATTTACCTGAATGGCATCGATTCCTTCAGGGTTTTTTTCTTGTGCTTAGCTGTGATTTGCCCATGGCTAATCACATGACACAGCTGGGCTGTAATTAGCCCAGCTTGTGCATGTGATCACTGTGACCATTCACAGCTAGACACACTTGTATACAATGGATGGCATGAAAGGAAGCCATCCATTATATACAACTGTCATATGACCTGGTCACAGCAGGTCACATGGTACTGGAAACGGGGCCGGTATACAGATCTGTCATCGGCCATGTCCGAGGTACATGGCTGGTGACAGATCGCACTGCAGAGCGGCCCTGCAGGCGGACACACTGCGCATGACTGAAAGGATGCCATATGGCATCCACCCGGAGGGGTGAGCTGTTCACCCAGCCGCCTTTGTGCTATTGGCCGGGTGGGAACAAAAAATAACCAATCTGTGCTCTGATATGATAAAGTGGTTGTAAAGGCTATTTTTCCCTAAAATAACAAACATCTTATACTACCTGCTCTGTGCAATGGTATTGCCCAAAATAGTCTCTTACCTCCTCTTCTGGGGTCCCCCACTGGGTCTCTCCGCTCTTCCTTTTCTGCATGTGTCCCCAATAATAACCGGCTGCTATGGGGGTACTCATGTAGGCTTGCTCCCGAGTCGGTCTGTGTGTGTCTAGTGCGGCTCAGCCCCACCTCTGCCCCTTTCTGACATGATTTGATTGACAGCAGCAGGAGCCAATGGCTCTGCCGCTGCCTCTATGTTTTTGTGAGAGTAGGAGAGGGAAGAGCACCACTGCAGACGGACGCAGCGCTGAATCGAAAAAGGACTCATGTAGGTATCTATGGAGGTGGAAAAGGGGTGGGAGGAGGTCATAGAACTACTGGAATATTTTTTACCTTAATGCAGGGAATCTATTACAGTAAAACATGTCTTGCCTTTAGAACCACTTTAAAGCAAAAAAATTAAAACCAGAAGAAGGGCAGAATCAGCTATTGCTGACACATCTTTAAAGTCATACTAAAGCTAAAAAGGCTTTTTTACCTTAACTCCTTGCATTATTCCTGTGTCCTCCCCCTTTCCTATTTGAAGGGGTAAAGAGGAGAGAATAGGTCAGCACTGTGGATGGCTGGTTCTTTTCTCCCCTCTCTTCCTCTTCACACAGGGACTCGAACAGGAGCAGGAGCCATTGGTTCCTTCTGCTGTCAATAAAATGCAGTGAGGAGGAAGTGGAGGTGGGGTTAAGTCCTGCCATGTATGTGGAGCACAGCTCCATAGACACATAGCTCGGGAGGGAGCAGACACTGTGTGCCCCCATAGCAAACTGCTTGCTATGGGGACACACAAAGAAGAGGAGCCAAGAACGCTGGCGGGGGGACCCGAGAAGAAGAGGCTGCAAAATGCAGGTGAGTATAACATGTTTGTTATTTTAATTTAAAAAATAACTTTGGTAACACTTTAATGTTGGAAGCTCCAGGGCTGTCATCCTTACCTTTTCTTCACTTTTAACTGAATCATTAAAGTGCAATTGCAGCCAAAACATTTGTTTTTTAGTTTTGGATAGAGTAGAGAAGGATTAAAATACCTGTCGGGTTTTTATTGCTGTCTGTGTCCTCATTAGAGAAATTCACTCTCTTCATTTGTCCTGGCGAAAGTGAAAGAAAAATCACAAATTTTTAGCTGCCACCAGAACAGCAATAGAAGAGAAATCTTCCAAATTTTCCAATGGGAACATCAGAGCGAAATCTCTACAAGACACAGACTGCATAAAAACTGATATGGGTTATAACCCTCCTCCAAACTGTCCAAAATAAAAAATAAAAAATATTTTGGCATTAGTTTTACTTCAACCCAGAACAGGTGTTCACTTCCTTGGCTTCAAAAACAATTCTATAATGGCAGCCTCAATGTTTCTGCTCGGACAGGTGGAATTGATAAAATCTGAAAATACTCCCAGAGGCTTGCTAAGGATTTACATTAGTATTTGTGTGTTTGTTTCCATTTCCATTTATGTGTTCTGGAAATAGTTCACAATGACCGGCGGGTCACTGTGTTCCCATTCTTTTAGTCAAACTGACAGAAATGATACAAGGAAACAAAAAACTTGCAGCATAAAGAAGGTGAAAAGTCAATGCTGACTACAGATGGCAACACAAAAGAGGCCAGCCAGTAGTAAGTGAGCGGCAGTGGAATTCAGGTTACAACCACATTGTTCTATTTTTCTTGTAGCTCATTCTCCTGCACTGCACCTATTTCTTCTGAGAAAAGCCTCTAGAAATAATGTTTTCTGTTTCTGCCAGGGCTCTTTCATCATTTATTGTTGCTCTTGACATTGTGCTCATTGTTATTATTATACAGGATTTATTTAGCACCAACAGTTTGCACAGCACTTTACAAAATGAAGGTAGACATTACAGTTACAATACAATTTGGTACAAGAGGAAACAGAGGGCCCTGCTCCTTAGAGTTTACAATCTAGGAGGAAGGGTTGAGTGATACAAAAGGTAATAGCTGTGGTGGGATGACCTGATGGAGGAAATAAATGGTGGTTTACTAGGTAGAAGCAGGATAGGCTTTTTTAAAGAGAGAGGTTTTCAGGGATGGTCTAAAGGTGGATAGATTAGAAGACAGTCAGACATATTGGGGTAGGGAGTTCCATAGGATGAGAGAAGCTCGGGAGAAGTCCTGGAGGTGAACATGGGAGGATGTGACACGGGAACTCACTTAGATAAAACCACTAATTAAAATTGTATGTTCGGTCCATCACAACCTCTTGGTTATCTAGTACTAATTAATTGGGGCTCATCAAGGTCCACTTCAGCATTTTGTGCACCAGTTGCTGAGCTCTGTGAGTGTGCAGACCCAGTTTAGATGTCGTGAAATCTATTACACAAAGGGGCGAAATTCTCAGACCTAAAGCTGTAATTTACTCAGAATCACATATAGGAGCTTACTAAAACCTTGTTGCTCTGGATACCAAAGCTAGGATTAATGCGTAGTTCCACTCATCTTTTACAATTAGCCATATTGTAATGTGCACCCATAGCAATGCAATGTTTGCATACTTACAGTATATGGTGAAATTTCTTACGAAGGTACCTTTTGATCAGTAGCCTTCCCCACGACTTCCAGTCATCATCAGCACCTGGCCCATTGACTCTTGGGATATCTATGTCACTCGTCATCGGAATTTTTGTGGATCTATCCCAGGAGTCTTTGGGCATCTAGTGTGGGTACAATTGCAAGATTTCCTGACCAGAACAAAGCACGCCTCACAGTGTCATTACTGAGCAGGAGCAAGATCAGGAGGTGCATGCTGGGTAGCCAGCTATACGAAATGTGGGTAATGAAGCCCGGACAACTTCAGCTACCCACATCCTTCTTGGCCACAGCCGAAATCGAGAGAGAAAAAGAGAAATGATAATTTAGTAAGTAATTATAATGTGCGCATGGCAAGCAATATGTATTGCAGTTATGGTGAATTACAATGCTCCCGATGATGTGATTGGTATATTTTGGCTAGGAGACTGGAACCCCGCTTTAACCACTTGCTGACAGCACTATAGCCAAATGGCACCATATGACATCCTCCCAGAAACACGCCCTCCTGTGCGCCTGCTGCGGTACGCACCCAACACGCTCTTTGATTGCTGTGTTTATTGGACACAGCTGATGACAAATCATGGCAAAGGGTCAATCACAGCTGCACTTTACTACATGATCAGCTGTGTCCAATCACAGCTGATCACAATGTAAACACAGTTGCTGGTTATCGACAGCACTTTCTTCACACTGTCACAGCGTGAAGAGAGGAGAGTCCATAACTGACAACTGTGAAAGGGGACATTTAAACTGATAATAAGGGCACTGGTTTATCAGTGTCCTGATTATCAGTGCAGCCCCAACACCTGGCTGTAGTTCCACCATGGCTGACAATCAGTGTCCACCAGTGCTGCCAGTCAGTGTTCATCAGTGCTGCCAGTCAGTCTCCATAAGTGCTGCTAGTCAGAGAACATCAATGCCGCCAGTCAGTGCTGCCTGTCAGTGCCCATCAGTGTCACCTATCACTGCCCATCAGTGCTGCATCAGTGCAGCCTCATCAGTGTCTCCTCATTGGTGCCCATCAGTGCAGCCTCATCAGTGCACATCAGTGAAGGAGAAAAATCACCCGTTTGAAAAAAAAAAACAGAACTAAGACAAACGTGTTTTTTTTTCAACATTTTTGGTCTTTTTTCGTTTGTTTAGCAAAAAATTAAAAACCCATTGGTGATTAAATACCACCCAAAAAAAGCTTTATTAAAAGAAATGATAAAAATGTTGTTTGGGTATGGTCGCGCAAATTGTCATTCAAAGTGCAACAGCACTCAAAA